AATAAAAAACATTCTAACATCCCTACCGTTAATAACAACCAGGAAAATTACAAATTTTTTGTCGACAATTCGAAACTAATATCAAATGTCAAACAAGAATCCTGGGAACAATTATACTCTATAAATAATATAGACAAAGCAACGGGACTGTTCATAGAGAAAATAAAAAAACTAATAGATATTAGTACCAATAAAGTATTAATTAGTCACAAAGCGAAAAGCAGAAATGCCTGGATTACCAAAGGATTAATCACATCGGCAATAGAAAAAGAAAGACCATATAATGTAATGAAACTAACGCCAACTACAGAAAATACCGACAACCAATATAAAAATAAATTTATAGAGCTTGCAAGGCAAACCAAACGAAAACATTACCTAAATAAATTGAATAATAACTTAAATGATCCTAAGCGGCTTTGGACAACTATTGATGAGATTACTGGGAAAACAAAATTTAAAGAGTGTGTCACTGAGTTGAATACAACATCGGGAACAGTATTAAAAAATACTGAACAGATATGCGATGAATTTGTACAATTCTTTACTGACATAGGCGAAAATTTAGCAAGTAATATACAAGCAAATGTACAAAATACTCAGCCTCCAAAAAGAACTTTGAACTCATTTATTTTGGATAAAGTCGAACAATGTGAAGTATACACCACTGTTATGTCCTTAAAAAATCGGAAAAGTCCTGGGTTCGATGGTATTAAAAGCGAGCATTTGAAAATTATAGCCGAGGACATAACAGAACCACTCACTTACCTAATCGGCAAATGCTTTGAATCTGGCATATATCCCTCAATTTTAAAAAAAGGTAATATAATACCGATACATAAATCAGGAACAAAAACAGATATTAACAACTATAGACCAATATCAATAATATCCAGTGTCGCAAAGGTTTTTGAAAAAGTTTTATCTACTAGAATGATTCGATACATCGGACGCAATAACTAAAATTGTAAATCAAATATATCAAAATATTGATAACAGAATCCCTTCAATCTGCATTTTTGTTGATTTAAAGAAAGCTTTCGACACAGTTAACCACAAATTATTATTAGAAGCATTGGAGAGAATTGGTTTCAGAGGAAACGCGTACTCACTGATCGAAAGTTATTTGTCAAATCGCCCACAATCTGTGCAGATATCAGGATCATTTAGTAAAGAAATGTATATTAAGTGTGGTGTCCCACAAGGAACTGTCTTAGGTCCGCTGTTATTCAATATATATTTAAATGATATTTTCCAAATTAATTGTGTTGGCAAAATAACTAGTTTTGCAGATGATACTGCAATATTATATGAAGGCACTGACTGGTCTGATCTGAAAAATGTAATTGAAAATGATTTTGTCAAAATTATTCGGTGGTTTGACAGTAGAAAATTAAGCATTAACTACTCTAAAACACATTTTTTACCATTTGGATCTTATGCTAGACATCTGCCAAATTACACAAATTTCTCCTTCAATATTAATGATCAAAAAATGCAAATTAATCGAGTGCCCAACATAAAATACCTTGGAGTGGTCTTGGATCCTCACTTACGATGGGACATCCATGTCAATTATATTTTAAAGAAAGTTAGATTTGTATCCTACAAAATTAAATACCTTGGGAATATATTGACAGAAAAATATCTTCGAACATTATACCATGGACTGATTGAGCCTCATCTCACATATGGTATATTAGCATGGGGAGCTGCATGTTCCTCACATATCTATAATTTAGATGTTTTTCAAAAAAGTATTCTAAAAATGATATTTAAAAAACCGAAACTTTATCCTACTGAAAAATTATATGCAGATGTTCGAATGTATGATATAAGACAGCTTTATTTCTTACACAGTATCACTCACTTCCATAAATTTGTAAACACCGACCAAAAAATTAAACATAATCATTATACCAGGTACAAAATTCGTGGCACAGTAGTTCCTCAACCGCATAAATCTATAATGCAGCGATCATATCTCTATTTAGCGCCTAAATTTTATGAAATTATACCTAAAGACTTAAAAGATTTACGTTTCGGAAATTGTTTCAAAAGAAATTTAAAAAAGTGGCTACATTCTATATCTAGGACTGAAATTCATAAACTCATAAATACGAACATCAACTAAATACATAATCTACTGTAGCTAATTTTTGTCCTTTTTTGTCATTTGCATTCTACAGTTTCAACTTAAATTATTGGTCCATGTACAGGCGATGCCTTCTATTGGGCCTGTTTTGATTTCATATTTATTTACTCATATTGTTTGTTATCTTTGTACATTGAGTAAATAAATATTATTATTATTAAATGGAAAAAAATGGAGAAGACCCTGCTGTATATACAGGCTATAGAATCACAGAACACTTTCTGAACTTCCTTACGCATGAAAGCTCAATTGTCATCACCACTCACCTCATTGATCACGAGCGTGTGTCTCCGAAAAGCATCATCAAATAGGTCGAACATGAACGTCGCGTCTCCTTCTTTTATCCATATAGCCAACACAGCCACCATAAGAAAGACCAAACACTTAAACGGAGCTATGAAGAGATACATGAAGTACATATCGTTCTCTGTCCCTTTCTTCTTATCTGGTTGCTTCATCGTAAGCTCCTGCGTTTCCTCATCGGCTTGGTCTTCATTTGGCTCTTTCTGTTTCCAACCACAAAAAAGGGAGCAGTCTTTGGGCATGTAATTTCTAGCCCATCCCATCGATATGAATAATACTGCTATCGGTATGAAGTATAGCTCAGTCTTATTCTCCAATATCGGCCAAGCTATAGCCGCGCTGGCCTGTGCTACTATCGCAAGTATGTCCAGCACTATCAGCAGCTTGTGCTTCCTCTTCGAAAACAGTGCTACAATACATACAAATTATTGATGAGAAATCATTTTAGTGTAAGATACATACATAATACTGCAGGAACAAAGCACACAGCATTGGTTAGCATCGCGGCCTTGATAACATCCAGCTCCGGAAACACCACAAAGACCAGAATAGCGCTTCCTATGGCAGGTAACAGTTCCACGAAGCATAGTCGCAGGAACTCTTCAACTGCCTTGGGATATTCCCAATGCTTGAAACAAATTATTCTCAATGATCTTATGAATGTGCCGATCTCAGGGATCCAGTACGCGAAGATTATCGTCCATATCCACACTGTAGTTTCTTCTGGTGGTAGTGTTACGAAGAACTGCTGTCTGTCATCTAAAAATATTGAGCAACAAAATGTAAACGCCACTCCAAGATTTAGGGTGCATTTCACAATTTAACAAACCGCTTTTTTCTGCACCGATAGGGTACCAAACAGTCCGTTAAATATACCCAATCAGCCGCAAGATCTCTCCGTCAAGTTTTTGGCAGCAAATAGCATCAAAGTATTCAAAACAAAACACTGTAAAATATGAAGTGTCACCACCGTTAGACTTGGCAACCCTGCGAGTGACGGATAGATATCTCCGCCA